AGCAATTTTTTTAAATTTCAACACCCATGTCAGAATATTTTTCTACTGCCAACCAACTAAATAGAATACAACGATGCCTTGTAAAGAATAGTATCTTTCCAAAAGTTGTATTTCAACTCCAAGAATAATTTACTCTTTTAATAAGTATTATATTCAGGAAGAATCGCATGGCTTCAAATAATTCACCACATCTGCAAACTACAGTGTTTTAGACAGCTCAATATTTGCTCATATGAGAAAACTTCGTTAATATCGTAACCATCGATTTGCTCCGTCAACTCAAGCGTCGATAGGTGCTTGGCTACCAGAATTTCACTTCTTTTCTTATCCCAAATCTCTAAATCAAACTCATATAGTGGTAGATTCTATCTAATCATCCCCGACTTTGCATCTTTCTTTGCTTAACATATATTTTAACGTCGTATGATACATGTAGACAATCACATTTTATCCAAATATAATAAGATCTAAATTTATCTAAACACAGATATGTACCTATTTTGAAAAGTATGGTCTAACGTGAAATCTTTTCAGTGGTTGCAAAATTTAACTATGCATTTATCAAAGTTCGGATCGCATAATAGATAACATAGAGTATATTATCCCATCTCCAACACAACACTGTTCCCTATGTATAGTCACTAGATCGGTGTAGCTATCATAGGTGTTGTAATCAATTTTGCTTTTAGAGTGTTAAAAGATGTCAAACACTCTTTAGAAAAATTAAAGGAAACTTCCTTCTCAAACAAACTGCAAAGATCTTGGTGATCTTTGAGAAGTGTTTTATAAAGCGTCGATAGAACCTGCATGTCGACGAAAACTACCCACTCTCTTAACTGAAATTGGCAGAGGTAACTTCTCTTGTAACTTGAATTTTAGCTGTGTCAACTTCAATCCCTTCAGCTAAAATCTGATGACAAAGTTCAATTCTCTCTCGTACTATAAAAATTGCATCTCTCCCAATTGAGTGCCAGATTCATTTCTTCACAATGTTGTAAGACCAGAGCCAGATTCTTCAAGCAATCATCAAATGAAGGCTCGAAAATTTAGAAGTCATCCATGAATACCTCAATGAATTTTTCTACCATGTCTAATAAGATGGCTATCATCCATTGCATGAAAGTAAACGGAGCATTACATAAATTGAAGGGAATATTCATATAAGCAAAGGTGTCTAAAGGCACTTGAATGTAATCTTTCAATAATCTTTCAGGGCTATAGCAATCTGATTATATCCCCCAAATACCCATCCAAGAAGCAGTATTATAAATGTCCAGCCAACCTCTTTAACATCTAATCACTAAATGGCAATAAAAAGTGAGCTTTTCAAGTGACATTATTTAATTTACGATAGTCAATGCACACTCTGCTATCCAATGGTTGTCCTAATCAATATAAGGTTTTTTACTTTCATTTTTAACTATTGTAATTCCTCATTTTCTGGTGTTACCGAAATTGGACTCACCCACTTACTATTGGAGATATGATAGATAATCCCTGCATCAAGAAGCTAAGAACCTCGGCCTGAACCATATCCTTCATGTTTGGATTTAACTTGCTCTGATTTTCTAATGACAGCTTGAACTCGTCTTCTATGATTATCTTATGCATGCAAAGTGAAGGGCTAATATCTATAATGTCTGCTATCGACCTCCCAATATTGTTTTGTGACCCCCTGAGCAATCTCAATAGTTTTTCCTTATCCAATTCATTTATTTATTTTGCGTTAATGATTGGTAAAGTAAAAGACTCCCCTAAGTATGCATATTGAAGATATGATGGTAAATACTTGAATGTAAGGGTTGGAGGTTCTTGAATGGATGGCAAGTGCTTCGTAGATCCTTTATCAAGGTCTTCAAAGTGAGATCATCTCCAGTAAAGTGGCAAAGCCTCCATTTAATGTACGAACTACTCAATCTATACAAAAATCTCTTCACTGCTATGAGTATCCAACTAAATCAGACAGCTGATTTCGAATTGATGTGGTTGGTGGAGTTATGGAAGAAATGTTTACTCTTGAGCACAAGACTGCCTGCAAACATGACATGAATCAAGGCATAGAAAGTGTCAAGGAATGGTCAACCTAATATCAACGGTACATCCTTATCTTCATCCATATCAAGAATCACAAAATCATCAAGGAAGATAAATTTATCGACGTTCACATTTATATCTTGATAATTCCTCATTTGTGTATTTTATAGAGCGATCAGCCTGATTTAAAGAGATTGATGTTGTTTTGGCCGTTCCCTAACATAATTTCTAAACAAATAAAAGACATCAAGTTAATGCTTAGACCTAAATATCGAATTTTGAATATAAGATTCTAAAAAGAAAGAGAGGAAACACTTTAATTTTGACAACCATTATTTGAAAACTCTTTTTTCTACACTCATTTTCAACCACACATTCATACAATAAAATATTTTGCGCTTAAATCCAAAGTTTTTTCTTATTTTTTAACCATACATTCCCCTAAAAATCACTATTCAAAATATTATTTTCTGAAAATAACGTCCACCAAACAAGGGCATAATTAACTAAAATTAAATAAACACCATAGCTTCAAAAACTTGATCGACGAAATCCCATAAGTCCACAATATAGTTTCTTCAAGTAGAATTAAATACATTCTCACATGTCACATTCCTATATCTCTATGAAAGATTTAAAGATACATTAAAATACATGAACGCCTATTTAAATTATGCAAGACATAGCGATATATTTTTATTCTCTATCGGATCTTACAACAATTGTTATAACGTGATATATTTCTTATTATTTTTCTCGAGTACAATAAAGATTGCATATCAATTCAATTATTAGTTATGTAATAGAAAATTAAACACAATGGCAATCATCCAAGATAAATAAATATTTAAATTCAAAGCCTTCAAATTAATATTAAAATTTCATAACAAAGGATTTATCTATGTCCTAGTGACTAGAAGTTTAATAAAGCATTACAAAGTTATAAGAAATCATGATGAAATATGACATCACCCGAATTTGAGTAATATGAAGAAAAAGACTATATTCGTCACATTCTCATTTCAATTGTTGTGGTGGATCTATTTGTTTACAAGATTTATACATCCGCCTTCTTAATATAGACGATGGAGATCGATTTAAATCACAAGGTAGAGAGTAATTCTCCTAGTCTTCTACCACATATATAATATAATTAGGAACGTCCTATAACATAAACTACAAAATCATGCAATATTTTAAATTGTGTGGATGTAGGATGAACGGGAGTCACAAGAGTGATTGTGATAATTGGGTTGAAGAGAATATCATGTGAGTGTAAAATTGCATTTATAGTTGAGGAGGTAAAGATGATACCGTAAGAATAATGACGCATAACCTCGTCTTAATAGATGACACATTATCCTCATACGCATCACCTATGTTGTTCTATGTTGAGATGATATTAAATGATTCTGAAAAGTGGTCACCCTATGACTTAGGCTTGACATTTGAAAAGCAAACTAACAAATTCATTGGCATCTAGTGGGAAAATGTCAAATCAATCAATCGAATGGAATGTCTCATACAAAAAATCTCATGAATTAAGCGAAGCTACAGAATGTCTTGAAAAACAAAGACTTGTCGCCTCAAAAATAAACTATAGCACATCGTGGTACCTCACCTTAGACACGAAGATTCGGCCTTCACATACGACTTCGGCTTAGGTGAAGACATCCCTTCAACTGTCTTTATTTGATGGCCTCGTTTAGGCCAATCAAGCAAGTGATTTGGAGTGTGAGCTTTTGGTGGCTTCGTGTTGACTACCACGTGGCCAATAATACAAGTCTGGTAGAATAAGGTCTAACAAATTCTTTACATATTCTCATTTTGAAAGACTAACAATCTAGAAATGTATATATTAATTTCTAATATAAATTAATATTGGATTTCTTAACTTAAATTTTTTCACTTTTCTACTTTGTTGCATTGAAGTGGTGCATCATATGACAATTCTATGTTGTTCAGGCATCAAAAATTAAACTTTCTTGGGGCATAAACATAAGTAAAAATGATTAATTCTACGAAATATATGAATGCAAATAAAATTTCTACAATTAATTTAAAAGTAATTATAAACTTTTCCAAACGTTATTAAGCCCTTGTTTGTCTACCATTTTTCAAAACATTAGTTTCTACAGTAATCAATCTTCACCACACATTCAAATAATAAAATATTCTACACATAAACCGATAAAGTTTTTTCAATTTTAACCACACATTCTCCAAAAAATACTATTCAAAACAACGTTATTTCTCCCATAATGGTAGACAAACAGACTATAAATGGTTGCATCTTGTACTTGAAAAGGGCGTCTACAAAGCCTAGAGGCTCTAAACTGCCATTGTACCTTCTTTTTGTCGATAATGTAATTTACTTTACCCCTAAAAACAGACATGGCTAAAATTCATAATTATTTACATAATTTATTCTTCAATCAAGCACTTATACAGTAGTACTGCACATAATTAGCAGGCCTTCTTTAGCTGCAGTTCATAGACGCTATATCAGTCAAGAAAAATAATTTAAGCTTTATGGATGCAATAATTTTGAGTTGATATCTTTAAGGAATTTTTAATTTCATTCAATAATACTATTGTAATTAAGAGCATGTTTTACCTAATTTAAATGAAAAATAAGGAACCCAGGTCTCAAAAATAAATTATTAAGTGCAAATTAATGGGTAAATTTTCTAATTTTAACTTTCGTTGTTTCAAGTGACAAAACTCCATAATATTTATTCCTACTACCATCAGTAAAAGAGATCCCATGGATATGCAGACATCTCAGAATCTAAACAATTTATTATATAGAGTAATACAGCCTAAAATCACAGAAAATAGCATGGNGAGAATCCTAGTAAGTAATCCGATACGTAGATAAAGCAAATCAAGAGCAAAAAAATTTAAGCTAGTTGAATAAATAATCTTCTAAAGTTGAACAACTGAACCTGTAAAAAAGCAATTAGTCATGTAATGAATGCTCTTGGAGCCTCATCAAGGCAAATTACCATGTCAGCATTTTTCCTGCTATCAACCAAACGACTAAATGGAATACAAATCTCTCCTCAATCAGTTAAATAATTGACTTCAATGTCTTAACATTTTTTAACAATCGGACAACGAGAGTGTAACAATGACACACATCGGGTTTCGGGAATCATGTTCTCTTCAGAAGATACCCTAAAAGGATGCCAATCAAGCCAACAATAACAACATACATGAATGGGATGCCTCCACGGCTCGGGTTAACTTGACGCCTCAAGAACTCCTGCATGTGGTAAGAACATGTATAGTTGGATCATAATTTGAAGGGAGATCTATTTCTAGAAACATAAACGGTAAAATACTTCCAAAGGCTCACTCTGCATCACCCTGCCTTTCAAATTTAAGAAGTCGGGATCCCTGCCTTCCCTCCACCCAAATGAAAACCAAGAGACGAAACAATTTTGCCCAAAAAAATGGTATAATATGTGTTCCCACTTCAGCTTTAATTTGACAACTATTATGAAAAAGCTACTAATCATCTCCCCAAAAAAACCCATCTTGGAGGATGGAAATGTGATCCTATTAGTACCACAACAACGTGTGGCAAAGCATTTGAATGATAATCTTATCTTATTCATGTAGTTACACTTGGTGCATCTTTTGCCCATATAAATCTCAACTTGTTGATCTAACAAACATGCATGCATTCAGTGTCACACCTGCCTTTCACTTTCTGAGACCTTCACAAACAGTATTTTAAGTGATTAACGGTACTACTAATGTACACGGTGTTTGGTAGAAGAGAAGAACAGACAAGTGTGTAATTTTGCGTGGATATGGCTACAGGCATATTTTGTTAATTGACCTCCCATGCAACATTTTACTCGTAATTCATTCTGAAACCTAGAGTATAATTAAGAAAAATACAGCCCAATTGAGCAGGAATCGAGTCATGGAAATTGATCTTGCTTTACGGGCTTTTACCGCATGAAAATGGAAATTCTCAACAAGGTTTATTGGTATAAGCTGTGAGATTCTCTAGGAGTACGATTACTGGTTAGTCTTTGATGATATGGCAGTCTAGGTGAAATTGATCAATGGTTCATACATTGAGCATTTTCAACAGGTGCTCGATCAGACATGTTCTAACCATTGGAATTTGATATCTGGGTAAGTTTATATGCAATGCAGTTTCAAGCCAAATTTTATTCCAGAATAAATTTTCCAAAGTTTAGCCACTGTTTGTTTACCAATATTTCAACTCTCTTTTTCTCCAACTCATTTTCAACCACATATTCTCACAATAAAATATTTTGTACATAAACCCAAAACATTTTCCTACTTTGTAGTTTTTAACTACACATTCTCCAAAAATTCACTATTGCAAAACTCATTTTCCTACTATAATGGTAAACAAATAGGGGCTTAATCTAGAAAAGGAAAGATATCAAGGTCCAATTTATTATTTTATGTTTTCTTTTGCCAGAATCAACACATAACACAAGACATTTGCCAATAGAAAGGGCTAACCAGTTCTTGCATAAGCTTGTTATTTAGCTGAATTGCAGTATTTTTCTCCTCCCTCAGCTTAGAAATCCGAGCTTTAACCTGCAATTGAAACAAAAGATTAAAGATAACTCATCACTTCTACCAAAACCACCAACGATCCTTTGAATAAATGAACTCCAGCACTAAAAGAAAATTATACCGAATGGTGAAAATAACCTGCCTTAAAATGAGTATTCATACCCATTAGTTGCAGAAAAGTAGTATAATTACTTAGAAGTCTTCAAAGATTAGTAAGATTTGACCCAAGCCAGAAAATGTACATAACTGAGTGAAAATGACCATTACTCTAGATGTTCAAAGGTACAGTTTAAGCCGATCACTTGAAAGTGTTAACAAAGTATTTTCTTGATAATTATTTAGCCCTAATATATAAAAAAATAGGTCAAACACCAAGTGGTATGACACACAAGTGTCTGATCAGTGTAAACGTTCGATACAAGTCCAGGACTGACACTCATCTGACTCTTCAAAGGATAAGAAGATATCCAAGCAGTTAAAAGAAAAGTTCCAAAGATTATTACACCAGCTACGTGTTTAAGCATAAAATGTTCATAAGATGGGTGCATGGGGTCAAAATGGATGACTGACACAGAACAAGATGAAAATTGAGAATATAAACCAAATAGTGGGGATGACAAAGCTCAAGCATAAATCAAGTCTAAGTGCATGTTTGGCAAAGCTTCAATTATAATTTAAGTTTTGGGTCCTAGGAAATGTGAATAATAAGTGGGTAATAGCTGTGGTCCTACAAATTGTGTTGATAAAAAATATGTTTGATGAACTCAAATTATTATATAAGTTTTCCCAAACATGCACTAAGAAAACTCAGGTTCACAAAGTGAGGCAAACTGTGGATTAGGTTAAGATTAGGGGAGAGAGAAAAATTATCATAGCCTGACGTGATTATGAAGGATATGATTACATTAAATCTTCCAATACAGGTAGAAATAGCACATACAAAGTTTCAGAAAAATATGCATTCCAAGGAAGTTGACCCAATTTGAAATAAGAATTTGTTCGTTATTGTTATTAGGTGCCTTTTGAGGCTATGATCCTTGTTGAGTGACAAACTAATAACTATCCCACCTTTTTTATAACCTTGCTACGTGTAATGTAGCATACATAAGTCAAAATTTGTTCTAATCATGATAACAGAAAGGATTGGTTTCCCTGAAAATATTAATATGGTGGATTAAGAAATCTTATTTAATGTTATTGGAAAAACAATTTTTGCCAAAACATTTCCTAGTTTACCCTCATTTAATTATTAATAACTAGTAGTAAATTATTATTTGAAGTAGTAAAAAAATAAAGGTATATTAGTAAACTAACAAAACAAAACATTCTTAATAAATAAACAAGACTATATAATTGGGACAAGAAAATAAGGAAAGTGAATCTATATAAATGGGACGGAGGGAGTAGTTGTAATTTTGTATTGAAAAGAAAATCCCTGCAAAATCTTGTTGTAAATCCCAAATTTTTACTAGTAGTTGTTAAATTTAAATTTAGAACTTAAAGTGCTCTATTATTAAAGTCTAATGACCTTATTGGTTATTGGCCTAGTCTAATGACCTTATTAATTACTAGTCAATAGTTTGAGGACCTAATTGGAGAGTTATCTTGGAAACTAAATAATTATGCACAAAATATATGTAAATATGCCAATTAGTCATGATTTAAGATTTATTTGACCACATGCATTATTCACACCACATTTCAAGCTAATGTAATTGATTTGACCACATAAATAAAGGTAATTGATTTGGCCACATGCATTATTTACACCAAGTCAATTGAATTGACTACATGTGGACACATTGAGTACATCATATACATGTATCATAAATCTTTACTGAATGTGACATTGGATCTATACATTTTTAAATGTATTGATTGGACCACTTTCAATATAATACACCATTT